ATGGTTTCCGTGCTTACACTGTTCAACAGAGACTTGTCCCTCAGGAGCACAAGAAGCCACAAAGGCTACAGACCCAGGGGGTCAGGGAGGTTGAAGAGGGAAACTACAAGTCACATATAGAAACCAGAGACAGACGATGTCTCACCGCATGCATACAGGGAGTTGTTCCCCAACCAAGTCATCTCTGTTTAACATGATGGTTGAGGTCCGTTAAACTTGACAAAGTAGTAACTTAACAAATTCATATGTTCTTTTCAACCCTTAGATGCATAAGTGGGTCTTTTTTGACCCAGTGAGGTGGTTTTCTTGAAGTATCTTTGTAATTACATTTTTTTATCATTTCATATTCCAGCTATTCCTCAAAAAACATGTTTTGGATATCATGAAATTGTAGTTTTTGAATTACTACCCCAAGCTTCCATAAGTGGGTCAAAAATGACCCGCATGCATTTTCTATGGAATCCTATGGGAAAATGTTTTTGTAAAGAAAATGTCTAAAATTATAAATAGTGAAAAATTAAATATAAAATATTTCTAGCGTGAACCAAAAATATAATACTAAATATTATACAAGTGATTTTTCTTGACCAAAATGACAAAAATGGCATAAAAACCCATATTATTCTAATACGGGTCCTTTTTGACCCACTTATGGAAGAGTGTAGGGTCCAGTCACTCGTGCATCTAAGGGTTAACTAAAAGCTCTACTGATAACACAGACCCAATTTGAATTTCAAATGAAATCTTTTTAAATTGGAGAAAGTAGAAAGTGAAGAGCAGTGTGTATCAGAGTGTCTCTCAGGGACACCAGCAGCCTCTGAGGGTCCCACAGGTCACCGCACAAATTAGAAAAAAGTTAATTTCACTGGACTTTATTTCACCAGAAATGTTTTCTGTTATATAATCAAATAAGAAGGACCTTAAGGAGTTCTCCCCATCCTGCTTTGCAGATATTAAAATGCAACACTCACACCTATATAACACACTACAGGGAAAGGGTAAACCACAATAAGCAGAATAGTCAATTGCAGGACTAAGAAAATATGTGTACATAGCATAAGATAGAATGAGTGTAGATATGGGATGAATCTGCAGGTTGGTTCAAAAGGAGAGCAAACGTTTCTATGGAAGTCAGTTTTTTGTTTTTCACTCAAGACAAAGGCCAAATGGGGACCTGAAACACAACAAGTAAAGGCTAATGTTGGCCTAAAATAAATGCCAGAAATGCCTTTTGCTACTGAAGCAGTTATTGATCACTTGTGGCGCGTACCGGCCCTTTAAGAGACCGATTCAGCAGTCAGAAACAGTTGAATACACTTAATTAAAAACCTTTTTTGACTAACATTGTAAACTGAAACCACAAGATCCTTGAGCCTAAAGTCATCGATGTGTAAACACAACATTACTATGATTGGTCCAAACTCCCCCTGGTGGAGATTAATTAACATATTTCTGGTGTTTCTTGATAAATAATCTCACTCACGGTGACGCCTCTGTCTCCTCTCCCTCCAGCCACACCTGACAGACCAGGGGAACCAGACACTCCCTGTGAAACACAACACAAACACAAATGTAAGGATGACCCATGTTTCATTATCTTACATCAGTGGTTCCCAACCGGGGGTACGGGGACCCCTAGGGGTTCTTGAGGGGATCACAGTCATCGCCAAATAAATAAAATAACTTTTGTCTTACATGAAATACAGAAAATAACAATGTTTCTTTTCAAATATGATGGAGAAAAGTGACTGGGGTCTTCTCCTGAAAAAGACATTATTGGCTTCTAAATAAGTATGTCTTAACATCATTGTGTTACCTGACAACAAGTGTACATTTCAAGTTTAAATGCATTTGTATTGAATGTGAGTTATACAGGTGATTTTCATTTCGGAGCAGTTGGGTTGAACATGATAACAAAGGGTTTAATACATGAAAAAATGGGTTTAATACACGAAAAAATGTAGGCGAATTATCCCAGATGAGTGAGGGGGTTCTTATAGAACGGAGACCAGCTCAAGGGTTACACAAGACAAACAAGGTTAGGAACCACTGTCTTACACAACATTGTGAAAAGCCAACAGCTGGTAACTCACTCTCTCCCCTGGAGGTCCTCTGGGCCCCGGAGGCCCGTCTTCACCCTAAAGAGAGGACACGCGCGCATGTTAAAATGTCAGATTTGCATATGGGAAACACACATGCTATCTCATATGTCTTCAGGGTTTCCGGGTACATCGTGAAGTCAGTACCTTGGATCCGGCCTTTCCTGCAAAACCATCTGCTCCGCGCTCTCCCCTGGGACCCTGCAGAGACATGAGATTACCTTTTAGACGTATACAGAAACATGCCTCTGCCAGAGACATCTGGTAGCCCCACTATATTACATTGACGGTCAATTAAATGTCAATGTTCTCTTCAAAAAATCAATTTTTTCGCTTATACTGTTTGATGTTTTGTCCGATACTCAGACTGAATTGCAACTGTCTCTTATTTGAATCTTGTAAAAACAGATGTAGGCAGGGATTCAGATGTCTGGAACCTGATTGGCTGACTTCTAATCGTGTTTCTGAGCATTGTATTTGAGTTACACTACAGGTCTAGAATATGTTATAGGTGAGGCAGCCGTTTCCATATTCACAAACTTACGACTTAAAGCTAAGAGACTTCAAAGTCATAAGCCTCAATAACATTGCAGTGCTTCAAGGAATAATACATCATATATATATATATATATACATACATACATATACACACACACACACATTCATATCTGACATCATCTATCAAATTGAACGTGTTAGCAAACAGTTGCCTATTTACATATCTAGTAGACACATAGCGACGTTAGCATCCATTTTAGCAGTGTTTTTGATGATATACTGTAAGTCCAATATTCATTAATATGTATGCTTTGTTTTATTGTTTTTATTAGCATTTCCAATAACATGTTGTATGTTTTCACTTATTTAACATTGCATTTGTTTCTAGAAATGTTTATTAATGTATTAATTAATGTTAAATAAACTATCTTTCTTGCTCTGTTTTTCAGTTCACTGCTACTAGATCCTAACTTTGCTCTTTGTAGCCTAGAGTTCAGATCTTCTTTCACTCAAAATGGCTGAAGTTTCATACGTGAATTAGATCAGGGACGTAAAACCAAAACAAAGAGCTAAAAGACACAAAAAACCTAATGATAACAGCAGATTTGGGTGATAATTATTTGAGGTTTTGTCGCTGTAGGCAACTCCTTTCACATGCAGTCATTCAGACAATTGTCTTTTATAATTGATATACGTTGTTTTGTTGGCTGCAATTTAAAGTGTTACAGCGAGTTTGGTTACTGTGAGCACCAGAGATGTCAAAAGTACACACTTTACTCAAGTAGAAGTACAGATACTCATGTTTAAAAATACTCTGGTGAAAGTAGAAGTACTGACTAAACTTCTTTACTCAAGTAAAAGTAAAGAGGCTTTGAAATGTACTTCAGTAAAAAGTACCCATAACTAGCAGCTGTTTTAAAGAGTACCTGACCTCCCTTTATATTAATAGAACAATAATGTCATTGTTAGCTAATGAATGTTTCCATGCTGACCAACGGCAACATGACAACGTTTTCATTGGTCCCTCTTCTTTAGAGAAGACCAGGAAATGATGGATACACGGATCGTGTTCAAATCAATAGGCACGCAATGACTCTAAATAATAATGATCACGCCACCAAACACACATTCAAACTAAAGGAACCAGCCTGTTTGGAAAATGTGAGAAGTAGAAAGTACAGGTATTTGGGTTCAACATGTAAGAAGTAGAAAGTACAGGTATTTGGGTTCAACATGTAAGAAGTAGAAAGTACAGGTATTTGGGTTCAACATGTAAGAAGTAGAAAGTACAGGTATTTGAGTTCAACATGTAAGAAGTAGAAAGTACAGGTATTTGGGTC